TATATATATATATATATATATATATAGTCACACGTATAATAATTTGTGATCCTTAATAATGTAAAACAATTATACGATAAATGCATAACTATAAACTCCTTTTTTATTAAATTAAAATGAAAAATGGATTTTTTTTAGATAACCATAATATTAGTACAAAATATTTATTAGTAGTGACTAATTTTGGTTGGGAATTGTGAGCGTGCACAAAAGGTAAGCATTCTCCTCCTAACATAGTCTATTCCATATTAAAGTCATTCGGTACTATTTTGATTGACTTTTGTCTTAAAAATCATCTGAATCAAATAAGAAAATCAAGTGTAATTTGATTTGAATGAATTATGAAATCTGAACTAAATCAAACTAATATTTTTAAGTTTCATTTGGTTTAATTTTTGCAGTTTTAAGAATTTATTATTTAAAAATCAACTAAAAATATGTAACATTATTTCATTTATCTAAGAACGTATGAAAAAAGAGGTAAAAATAAAACTATGTAAATATTAAAATATTTCAGTCATTTAATGTATTTAACACTAAATTTTATTTTATTAATTTAATAAAAATATTTTTTAATACAATTAAGTTATTACATTAAATATATTTTTTTCTTATAAAATTTATCACTTAAAAATTTATTTTTGAACATTATAAATAAATTATAATTTTTTATTCTGAAATTTAGTTAAATAACATATAATTTTATAAAATACCTTTTGAAATATTATACTGTATATTTAGAAAGAAAAGAACTTTTTATAACTTGCATTTTTTATAAAACACCTCTTATATTATGTGTGATTTTTGTATACATATACTAATATTAAACATTTAAAAAAGATATATATTTATAAATAAATATACTTTAATTTGATTTGAAATAACTTTAAACTTAAATTTGAAAACTAAACCAAACCAAATTATATGAATCAAACTGAACCGATAATGTATAATTTTCTATCAATTTTTGGTTTAGATGAATTAGATTTTGAATATCTGTATTTCTATTCCATAATCTATACTAGTGTCTAAACTAAAGGCAGATTGTTCATTTAAAAAAAAAAATAGTAATCTGTGATGCGGGACACGTTAATAAAATCAAACAGCGAAAAGAAAAGAAAAAATCCCTCCATTTCCACTTTCACTCACTCTTCTTCTAATTTAATTGATTGATCCCATTGGCCTCCCAAACCCTAAACCCTAGCCATGGAGTGGAACCCACAGACTCTCCAATTCCTCTCCGAATGCTTCCTCCACACGCTCTCCCCCTCCCCGGAGCCCCGCCGCCGCGCCGAGTCCTCCCTCGCCGACGCCGCCGCCCGCCCCAACTACGCCCTCGCCGTCCTCCGCCTCGTCGCCGAGCCCTCCATCGACGACCAGATCCGCCAGGCCGCCGCCGTGAACTTCAAGAACCACCTCCGGCTCCGGTGGTCCTCCGACGACGCCCCCGTCCCCGACCCCGAGAAGGAGCAGATCAAAACCCTAATCGTCCCCCTGATGCTCTCCGCCACCCCCAAAATCCAATCCCAGCTGAGCGAAGCCCTCGCCCTCATCGGCCACCACGACTTCCCCAAATCATGGCCCTCCCTCCTCCCCGAACTCGTCGCCAACCTCCACAAAGCCTCCCAAGCCTCCGATTACGCCTCCGTTAACGGTATTCTCGGCACCGCCAATTCCATTTTCAAGAAATTTAGGTTTCAGTATAAAACTAACGACCTATTGCTCGACCTCAAGTACTGCCTCGACAACTTCGCCAGGCCCTTGCTTGAAATTTTCCTCAAAACGGCGTCGCTTATCGACGCCGGCGCCCCCAACCTCCGGCAGCTCTTCGAGTCTCAGAGGCTCTGCTGTCGGATATTCTACTCGCTGAACTTTCAGGAGCTTCCTGAATTCTTCGAGGATCACATGAAAGAGTGGATGAGTGAGTTTAGGAAGTATCTTACTACTAGCTACCCTGCTCTTGAGAGCAGTGGTGCTGATGGTGTTGCGGTTGTTGATGAGCTTAGGGCTGCTGTTTGTGAGAATATTAACCTCTACATGGAGAAGAATGAGGAGGAGTTTCAGGGCTTCTTGAATGATTTCGCGCTTGCTGTGTGGACTTTGCTTGGGAATGTGTCCCAGTCTTCCACCCGTGACCGGCTTGCGATTACCGCCATTAAGTTTTTGACTACGGTTAGTACTAGTGTTCACCATACTTTGTTTGCGAGTGATGGGGTGATACCGCAGATTTGCCAGTGCATTGTTATTCCGAATGTGAGGTTGAGGGAGGATGACGAGGAGCTGTTTGAGATGAATTATGTTGAATTTATTAGGAGGGATATGGAAGGGAGTGATCTTGATACTAGGAGGAGGATTGCTTGTGAGTTACTCAAGGGTATCGCGACACATTATGGGGATGCTGTGAAAAGCATTGTTTCTGCGCAGATTCAGAGTTTGTTGGGTTCGTTTGCTGCGAACCCTGGGGCGAATTGGAAGGACAAGGATTGTGCTATATACTTGGTGGTTTCGCTTGCAACCAAGAAGGCAGGGGCTAGTGTTGTCTCCACGGAACTTGTTGATGTTCAGAGCTTTTTTGAGTCTGTGATTGTCCCTGAGCTGCAAAGTGCCGATGTGAATGGGTATCCTATGCTTAAGGCAGGTGCACTCAAATTTTTTACCATGTTCCGGACCCAAATATCGAAGCATATAGCGTTGAAGTTTTTTCCAGATTTGGTTCGTTTCCTTACTGCAGAATCTAATGTCGTTCATTCTTACGCTGCAAGCTGTATTGAAAAACTCCTGTTGGTGAAGGATGAAGGTGGTGGAGCACGTTATACTTCAGCAGATATCAATCCAATTTTTGCAGTGCTGATGAACAACCTTTTCAGTGCCTTTAAACTCCCAGAGTCTGAAGAGAATCAATATATAATGAAATGTATTATGAGGGTTCTTGCTGTTGCAGATATATCTGTTGATGTTGCACGAATTTGCATTGAAGGGTTGGGCTCTCTTCTCACTGAAGTTTGCAAAAATCCGAAAAATCCTGTCTTCAATCACTATCTCTTTGAGTCGGTAGCTATTCTTGTGAGGCGGGCTTGTGAGAGGGACTCATCTCTTGTATCTGTTTTTGAAGGAAGCCTCTTTCCTAGGCTTGAAATAATATTGGCCAATGATGTGACTGAGTTTTTACCGTACACGTTTCAGTTGCTTGCTCAGCTTGTTGAGTTAAACCGACCACCGATCCCACCAATCTACATGCAGATATTTGAGATTCTATTGTCACCTGATTCTTGGAAAAGAGCCTCAAATGTTCCTGCCCTTGTGCGTCTACTCCAGGCCTTCCTTCAAAAGGCACCGAATGAGATCAGCCAAGGGGATAGACTGACCAAAGTGCTTGGCATATTTGACACACTGATTCAATCTTCAAGCACATCTGAACAAGGATTTTATGTGCTTAACACAGTCATTGAAAGTCTCGAGTATAATGCTATTAAACCGTATATTTCTCACATCTGGGCTGCTCTTTTTAGAGAGCTCCAGAAAAAGCGAACTGTAAAGCTCATCAAGTCTCTCTTGATATTCATGTCACTCTTCCTGATTAAGCACGGTTCTGCAAATGTTGTTGATACCATGAACAGTGTCCAGCCTGATATATTTATTGTGATTTTAAATCAGTTTTGGATTCCTAATCTTAAGCTGATTACAGGAGCTATAGAACTCAAGTTGACTGCAGTTGCTTCAACTAGACTCATCTGCGAGTCTCCAGTTCTTTTGGATCCTGCAGCTTCTGTGTCATGGGGTAAGATGGTGGACAGCATTGTGACACTCCTTTCCCGGCCAGAAGAGGATAGAGTTGAGGAGGAACATAACATGCCAGATATTACAGAAAATGCAGGGTATACCAGCACCTTTGTTCTTCTTTACAATGCTGGAAAGAAAGAAGAGGATCCACTTAAAGATATAAGAGATCCCAGGGAGTTTTTTGTAGCATCATTATCTCGACTTTCTGCACTTACCCCTGGGAGGTACCCTAAAGTCATCAGTGAAAACGTTGATCCTGTGAATCAAACAGCATTGCTTCAGCTTTGCAACACTTATAATCTTTCAATAGTTTGAGTAAGTTAGCATTGCTTCTCATTTTATTTTTTATTATTCCGTATTCATCTGAATTCTTTTGGACTATATACCAGTTTAGCTTTATATTTGCTCAATCCTTTCCAGAGATTTGCTTCTTTGTTACTGTTGTAATATTTATTTGTTTTAATTGGTAACAAGCATAGCGCAGTTTGTACAAAGTTTCTTTTTATCATCAAAATATGTGTTATGCTGCTTTGTGAGGGATCAAAATTTGCCAGAATTAGAGACTTAACAAAAAGACACTTAAAATTTTTTGGATTAATGTCAGAATGTAATATTTGAATGTGGAACTTATATTACAGTGTAGCCATGTATTCTCTGTAATGCCCATCATTGACTTTAATAGTATGCAATTATTGTCGTTTGTCGACTCCTCAATCTCCAAGGCAGCTGTATTTTGCTACCTGAAACACTCGAACAAGCTCAATATAATTGTTCTCTGTTTTCTCATTCTTTTTTGTTTAACCATATGCCAGCTTGATCAATCTTTTTATTTCTTCACTGGCTGGAAATTATTTTCTCACACTATTGGGTTGTTTATATGATTCTGATAGGACTGGGGGTGGGGGCTTGAACTTAGATGGAAAGCTCAAGACGCTGAGGGTCTATGTTAGGAGGAATCGAAGAAAGGAAAGAGGGGGTGAGATGGCATTAGGTGTAACTAAATTGCCAAACGTGTGAGGAGGAATATGAGGTATATAGGGAATGTTTAAAGGGTGGGGGGGGGGGGGG